AGAGAGAGAGAGAGAGAGAGAGAGAGAGAGAGAGAGAGAGAGGTCTTCCAGGTAAGGCACCTGAGCTCCTGGACCTGGAAGGCACTTCTTACACAGCTTCCCCTGCAACCCTTGTGTTTTAATTTGGTGTTACATGAGGATATTCTAAAAGGCATATCCCACATTAGTTTGACACCAAGAGTTACTTTTGGCCACATCCAGCAGTCAAAGCAGAGAGTTAGTCTCATGTCAACTGCTGGATCCAGTTGCTATAAGAAGGAGGGAGGCAAGGACCAGCATTCTGGAAAGTGGCCAAGCAGAGTACTCACCAGCCTGCAGGCCCACCCTGGTGTCTGTTCAGAGGGCCCTGGGTGTACAGTCCCCAGCTAATGAATTTACAAAACAACTGTCAACATTAAAACCTCAAGTGTTTCTGAAAGTCTACAGGACGACCCTGGAAAGAACTGGTTTTAGGGTGAACTATTACCCTCCCATTCCTTCTCTGCCTCCCTGTTAGACAACATGAGGAGTAAAGGTGGGGAGAGAAGTAGAAGGAGGCAGGAAGTTAGGGAATTAACAGAGCCACGCTGAGAGGAAAAGCAGCCCCCACTAGGGTGAATGGTGGACAGTTGCCCAGTCAGCTTTAAGAGCTGTGAACTTTAATGCTTGCACCCTAGAGGAGAGGTGTTTTGTTTTGTTTTGTTTTGTTTTGTTTTGTTTTGTGTAACTTCAGGAACATTTACTTTTTTGGGGTTTAACTCATACATCTTACCTAAATCTCTCCCAACCTTTTCCCAGGTCTGGCCAGACTATCTCTCTGAGGCAGGCAGGCTTCAAATTGGCTCAATCTGGGCTGGCCAAGGAGAGAAGAGATTCGTCCCCAAACAGGAAAGAAGGGAACACCATCAGGGCTGTTAGGAGAGTGACTGGATTTTTACAAACTGATCTAAACCTACTTCCCATTTAGTCCTGTCACCCGATTGCTCATCAGGACAAGTCAGGGATCTTTAGGGAAGCCCTCAGAGTAAGGGACTTCACCTGAGACTTAGAGCCTCATAGTAACCAATGGACAAGGAATAACAAGAATTCTTCATTACAGCTGGGCATACTGGCACACATTTGTAAGCCCAGCACTCAGGTGAAGGCTTGAGGATCAGGAGTTCAAAGTCATCCTCAGCTACATAGTGAGTTCAAGGATAGCCTGGGCTACATGAGACTATTTCAAGAAACAGAAACAAGGGGCAGGATTTGAAATGGCTGGGCAGAGATACTTGCCTCTATGCCTAGTGACCTAGGTTAGATTCCTGGGACCTGCAAGGTAGAAGGAGAGAAATGACTCCCAAAAGTTGTCCTTTGACCACACTGTGCCCTCTGCCCCAGCACTCACATGATCACCTGCATAGATGCAAAAAATAAATTAACTAACTAAATAAATAAAGCTTTAAAAACATTCACAAATAGTATCCTAAGAGGGCAGAGTCATGTTTGTTTGTCAAAACATATATACATGTATGCACATATAGTGAGAGTAAATTATAAAATGTCATGTATAATATCATAATGTGAAAAGTTACCAAAATATAAATTAAAAAATAATATTTTCTTCACCCTGAAATTCCAAATTGGCCAGAATTAAACCTTGGCATGCATGTCTAATTACACTTACATTCCAAATTACCCTTGACTTATTTTCTTCTCACACTCAAGTCACCATTTACACTCAGGTGCTGGATTAGATTCAGATGGCAACACACAAGCACAAGGCCTCAGAGGAGGCAGGTCTTAAGAAGTGCATTGTGATATCCTAGAGGCAACCCCAGCAGGCATTAACAAAACCCTGCTGTCCCTTCTGAGGTCCCGAAGGATTTCAAACATCCTTCCCTAGAGGATGCTTAGATGTGTTAACATGTCCACAGCCCTGCTGCTGAGTAAATGGTACTCTGTCTCCCATAGTGGTCGATCACTATACCAGTCAGATAGTCTTCAACGGAGTCCGGGTCATCGCCATCATCATTATCGGCCTGGGCTTCCTCCTCCTGCTCCTGCCAGAAGAGTGGGATGTCTGGTTAATCAAGTTGCTCACCCGCCTCAAAGTGAGGAAGAAGGAAGAGACCGCAGAGAGCAGTGGGGACTTGGGCACAGGTCCCCAGAGCAGGAGCAGAAGAGCCCGCCCATCCTTCGCTCGCTGAGACCACTCCTCTAGGACTCTGGGATGCCCCCATGGTAATGTTTTTGAGGTCTATTCCTAAGGGAGGAACCTCAGTTGGGTGAGGTGTACATACATGTACAGTTTTGGTAATCTGCAGTAAGTTCTATGGTATTTATTGGCATGTCCAATTTGCTTGCACTTTTCCACATCAGACCTTCCAATTAAGGGTACCAATTCAAAACAAAAGAGAAAAGAAACTCTCAGTGCTTCTTCAATGAATGTAAAGTGGGGTAAAATGAGCCTTGCATTGATTGCTTCAGAGGACAGGCAAGCTGGACACACCTGGGCAAATGCTCTGCCTCTTAGCAACTGAAAATGACATTGTACACTGTGATTATTTTTCAGCTATAGTAGGTCATATTTTGTTTTATACCAGAACTGTATACTTAATTTTAAGGAATTTCAATGAACCAAAAGATAATTGTCAGTTAATCTTGATGGATGGATGGATGGATGGATGGATGGATGGATGTGTGGATAGATGGATCGCTGGGTGGTGGACAGACGGGTGGATGGGAAGGGAAGAGAAAGGTGAAGCAGACAAGGATAATGGGCATGAAGATAATTAGAAGACAGGCCTGGACCAGGTCACATAACAGAAAGTGGAAATCTGACCTAGCTGGCCTGCTTTCTTGTGTCTTCACAAGATCATGAGGAGAATTTAGTGCCTTCTACAGCATCTCCGTCCTTACCTATGTGAAGCGAGGTGACATCATTATGTCACTGGCGCCGTCTTATAATTTAGATGTAGAAATCTTTAAAAAAAAAAACTGTATGTGTATATGTGTGTACAAAAGTGACAACGCTGGTGGCCAGTGCGTTTGGAAAGTGGCTGGCGATGTGTAGCATGCACAGCAGGTGCACTGTATGGGAGGAATTGCTGGTGGCTTTCACTTCCAGACCAAGACTGAAACACTATTTACAGAGTCTGTAAACCTTTTTAAGAAACTTTTAAGCACCGGGCTGTTTACTTACACAATCTAGGTCTGCCAGAAACTTCTATCTGTGATAGATCTGTACAGAGGGACTGGGGTTAGAGTTTACTATTTTTGAAGTTTACATTGTTACATATAAATGGGAACCTGATTTTGAAATGGTGTCATATCCCAATGGTGCATTCTGGAACCATGGAGTCTTTTGTTTCCTGGGGGAAAGGGGCACTCATGACCTGAACTTTTTAGCCAATTATTATTCTCAGTTTCCATTACTTGTTTGGCCAAACAGATTAATAAAATATTTGAAACAAAGAAAGCATTGAGTATGCTCTTGCTGCCACCTTGTCGCCTCCCACTAAGGGTCCTGATGCAGCCTGCAGTCTCCAAACGGATTCCTGGAAGGTCAGCCTGTCTGGCTGCCCTGAGGGAAGGTGATTGTTGCTGTGATGACAGATGATTGCATGACAATCGTGGGACTCATAGAAACTGTTTAAGTCTCTGGGGCTGAAGAGACAGTGCAGTGGGAGAAAGAGCAGTGGGAAAGTACTTGCTGCACAAGCATGAGAGCAGGAGTTCATATTCCCAACACCAATGTAAACAGCTGAGCACAGCCACATTCACACACACACTTACACATACATACACACATATACACACATACATATACACATAGACATAGACAGACACACACACACACACACACACACACACACACAAACACACACACACCTTTAACCCTAACACTGTAGGTGATGGAGGCAGAAAGACCTATGAAGCTGTGTCTAGGCAGCTGTGGCCAGATGCTGTGAAACCCAAGTGTCTTGTGTGTAGTTGCAGAGGGTAGGCACAAAGATGGCACAAGAGTCCTATCACCCACACCTAGAATGTCTTTCCTTTGGAGAAATCCAAAAGGCAACACAGGTGGCAAGGGCCTAGCCTGTCACCTCCACCACCAACTGCTTCATTTAACTCAGTCCAGTGAATATTTCCTTTTAAAGACACATTTTAAAGTTGGAAATGCCTGCCTTATAGTAAATTTAGCTTCACCCATCAGCTCATTAAGATTAAAAAATGGGTCTGCCGAGATAGCTTAATCATTAAGAGCACGGGCTGCTCTTCCAATGGACCCAAGTTTGATTCCCAGCATCCACAGGGCACCTCATAACTGTCTGTAACTCCAGTTACAGGAGATCTGATACCTTCTGGCTTCCACAGGTACCAGGCACACACATGGTGCACATATATGCATACAGGCAAGACACACATAAACAAAACATTTTTTTTAATTTAAAGATTAAAAAGACTAGGGGCTCTTTCCTCATGACCCTTTCAGCCTTCCCTTCTAGCCCGTCTTCATTCCTCTGTGTCCTCCACTGATCCCAGAAATGCTTTCTACCAGGGACCCCCAGTAGCCACAGCAGGCTGACAGTCACATCAGTGGCTCACCCAGCCATCATCAGAAACACTTCTCTTGCAGTAGGTGGGAACTAACATAGAGATCCACAACTTGACAATGTGCAGGGTATGAGAGACTTTGGAGCACTCAGTCCTAAATGGGATGTCTTCACCAAACCCCTCCCCTCATGACTAAAGGATCTCTGGGGAAGAGGAGACAAAAAGATTGTAAGAGCCAGAGGGATGGATGTCTCCAAGGAAACAGTGTCTTCCAGACACAACAGTACTGATAGATGTGACTCGCAGAGACTGAAGCAGCATGCACAAGGCCTGCACAGGTGAAAGTCAGATGGGGTTCCATCCCTGAGATGGGAAAGTGGACATAAGCTAACAAGAAGCTCTCTGCTACTGATACCAACAGCCAAGGGGAAATCACTTTTCTCTGATGGAGTCTCACTGGGTATATTAACCACTCTGTTCTCAGGAGTAACTGGCCAACACAAAACAAGATAATGGTAGTTTTGCAAACTGTTTGTCTCATTTTGCTTTGTTTGGACATTTTCTGTCTTACTGGTCAGTCTTTTGCTTGTATATGTCATTTTGTGTCTTTGTGTTTTTCATGGGGCTTTTTGTGTGTTCCTTTGGGTTTCTGTTTTTGTTTATTTTTTTAAAGAGACGAGAGGGCTTGAAGTTAGGTGGGTGGGAAGTTGAGGAGGATCTTGGAGCAGTTGGAAGAAGGGGGAAGCATGACCAAAATATATTGTAAGAAAAAAATTTCAATAAAAAAAGAATTGAAAGCAAAGACTCCATAAGATATCTGAGATATCTCTATACCTATATTCAAGGCACCATTATTCATGGTAGCCAAAGGGTAGAAGTGCATAGGTGGGTGGGTGGCTGGACATATGTATGAACGTGTAGATTTGCATATGTATGCACAAACAAAATGTGGTATACTCATACAATGGAGATCTATCCAGCCTTAGAAATCAATAAGGAAGCTTTGACACCTGCTGCACATATATGAACCTGGAGGCACTTGTGTAGGATGAAGCAAGCCTGACATAAAAGGACAGGTGCCATGTGACTGTACTTTTGAGATCCTCAGGACAGCCAAATTCAACCAGAAAAGAGTCAGGTGTGTGGTGCACCTGTCATCACACAGGAGGCAGAGGCAGGAGGATCGCTGTGAATCTGAGGCCAGCCTGGTCTATGTAGTGAGCTCCAAGTCAGCCAGAGTACCTCAGCGTCCCTGTCTCAAAAATATAACAATAATAACAAAAAAACATAACAACCCCCCAACAACAACAGAGTGACAGAAAGTAGAAAGAAGGGTGTCTGCTACAGGCTGGGGAGGAGGGGTCAGTCGGTGCAGGGCTTCAGTTTGAAGAGAAGTTTCTGGAGATGGATGGCAGACAGCTGCATGGCTTAATACTCATGACTTTGTGCAGAAGAATGGTTACATAGATATATATTCAAAATGTTAAAAATGACTACAAAATACAGGGTGTGTGAAATAAAAAGGTCAAAACTCTGCTTCTCTAGGGATACCATGAGCCTGAGTCTAAGTGAGGGCGGAATGGGAGATTTGTTTTTGAGAGGAGATAACCACTCGTTTTAAGCACTGGGGACACTGGGAAAAGGCTATAATGGAAATATAGTATACCTGGGAAGTGCTAAAGGAAGCTGATGGCCCAGAGGCCACCCTGCTAGGAGAGGGCCTGCCCTCTTAGGCTAGTATAGGAGCAATTACAGACCAGCTCTGTATCAGCTTTCTGTGAGTGTACATGTGTTCACAAGAATGCTTAATGCATGAATGCGGGTGCAAATGTATGTACGTATGCGCATGTGGTGTCCAGATGATGATGTCTGGTGTCTTCTTCAGTCACTCTGTATATTTATTTGAAGCATGGTCTTTCACTGGCCTGGCCCTCACTGATTAGACCTGCTGGCAAGCTCCAATCTTGCCGGAATCCCCACCTACCTGTAAGGATGTAATATTGGAATCTAGCCTCTCCTCAGGCCATGAGATCTGCAGCAGCTCATTTCACTTTCACAGACATGACAAGCACCTTACTAAGACATAGTCTGTGAGTGAGTCTCAGGCTAACACGATCCCAGGTCAGTACCTCTCACCTGAGGAGGGAAGTAATATTGAAGTGGGCATTGGCACCGACAGGGTTTCTACTGCTGTGCTAAAACACCACAACCAAAAGCAACTTGAAGAGGAAATAGTTTATTTTAGCTTCCAACTCAGAAACAATGACAAGGCAGGAACTTGGAGACAGGATGATTAACAATAGATTGATTTAATGGATGAATGATAGGTAGGTAGATGGGTAATGATTGATTGTTAGATAATTGACATAGTCAATAGATAGATGATCATGACGAGGGATGAAAGCTGAGAGATAATGGACAGACAGACAGAACAATGAGACTGTACCACTGAGCCATGTTCCTGGCTAATTTCTTTCTTGTTCTTGATTTCCTACCCCCTAGACAAATCCCTAGCTTTGCTGTGGGCTCAAACCATGCTTGCTAACTTAGCCCTTTGGGAAGACCCCAATACAGCCATTCTTTTAAGACAACCTCTAGAAAGCCCTTCTTGACATTAAGATTGTTATCAGGAAAGACCTGTGAATCAAGC